AATAGAGTATTATAGCTACCTCACATTTTGATACATCCCGGTTTCATTTTTGCATGGCTTTATGTGTGCTCTGGCAACAGAGATCGTGTATTGAGCTGTTAACCACAAGGTCAGCAGTTCAAACTCACCAGGTACTCTGAGAGAGAAAGATGAGGCTTTCTACTCCCATAAAGTTTTACAGCTTGGAAACCCACCCTGCTCTATGGCAGTGAGTTTAAGTTACGTGTGCATCATAGGCATTCTGTTCCCTATGTTTCCTTAAGAAAAAAAAAATTCCACCCAACCTGTGGCCATCTAGTCATTTCCAACTCATAGTGACCCCATGGATTAGAGTAGAACACCATTCCGGAGGGTTTTTTTGGCTGCAATGTTTACGGAAACATATCACCAGGCCTTTCTTCTGTGGCACTGCTCAGTGCATGACGATGTTTTTATACCTTGCATCCCCTCCTACATTTCAGGCTACTGGTCCTGTTCTTGCCCAGCTCTCTTCTACTTCAGGATCTCCCCAGTGCTTCTTCTAATGGAACACTGAGTGTCCTCAGTCATCACAGCATTGACTCCCTTTCCATTCGCAGATCCTGGAATTAAGGTCACCTTCTCGGAGCCCCACACAATCTAATGTAATACCTCCATGCTAAACCTATTCCTTTGATACGAACTAACGTTATTATCCTGGAAACCGTTGTGATGATTCTAGAACATCATGTTTAAATATTTAAGTTATCTGCTATTCACTATTAGGAGCCCTGGTGGTGTAGTTAGTTACACATTGGGCTGCTAATGGCAAGGTCAGCAGTTCGAATCCATCATTCGTGTCTCAGGAGAAAGTTGACACTTTTTAGCTCCCATAAAGATTTACAACATCGGATTCTAGGGGGCAATTCTACCCTGCCATACAGGGTGACCAGGAGTAGGAACTGACTAGATGGTTTTAGGTTATTCACTATTGCATCACTAGCACAAAGACCAGTGCCGGCTATCTAAGAGTTTACTTTTATGTCACTCTGGTTTTACAAAAGACTTTTAACACCTAACCAAGAAACCCACAGAAGATATCCTCCCAGTGAGCTGTTCAAGGGGCAGCATGCACGCCGAGCAGCTAGTCTGGCGTCACCCAAGCTCCTGTGCCCTGGGAAGACACTCAGCATCTTGGCATCAAACGGCAATAGCTTAGCGTGGAAATATTATATGCCAGTGTTTTTAAGGTTGTATGTTACGTGGTATGTTTGAATCTGGGAACACTCAAACATCTTTCCCATATAAATTGTAGTAATTGCTTTTTGTTTTATGCCATTTTGGTTTACCAAAGTTTCATAGGACCACTCTACTTTTGATAGTGGGGGAAACATGCATTCAGTAAAGAGTCATTTAAAGAATGAATAGCGGCAAAAAATAAAAAGAATGAATACAGGTAATAAATATATATGAATTTGAATACACAGCAGAAACACAATTATTAAATATAAAATTCTCTTTTGTGAGGGGGAGACAATCCAAATATAAAATTCTCTTTTGTGAGGGGGAGACAATCCATTATATATAATATCTAGAACAGTATTTATGAGTAAAAAAGACTGCTGCTCTGTATCTTTATTTCATAATTTCACTAAATAAGATATTTTTATTTCCCAGTCTTCCCAAAGACATTCTACTACAAGATAGGTTTGTTTGTTACTACAGAAAATGTTTTTCTAAGCAACAAAAATATATTACTGCCGTTGAGTTAATTCCAACTCATAGTTATTCTAAGGAACACAGTAGAACTGACCTTGTGATTTTCCAAGACTGTAAGCCTTTACAGAAATGTAAAGTCTCTACAGAGCAGCTAGTGGTTTTGAACTGCTTGCCTTGTAAATAGCAGCACAACACATAATCCACTACATCACTAGCACTCCAGTAAGGAAAATAAACTTGGCTATATAAGAGACATTCTGTTGTTGATAAAAACATTACAAGGAAAAATGCTAAAGATCCTTAAGCGTAACTTCCCAATTTCATATTAGAAACAAGCCTATGATAAAGAAAGTCTGTACAAGAGAGACAAACAAAAACAAGCTATAAATTAGGTCACTTGACTTACAATAACATTGTTGCAAGATTCTTTCATAATTTGGGGCTAGCTTTTAACGCAAGTGTATAAACTGTCCCAGGAGCTTCACTGTGTTCAAGAATTCAAGTTTTGAGAGGGTCAAATGGAATGCCTTTTTACTCTCATGCTCAAATATGGGGCATTCTGTAGATCTAAGTCTGTGCTTCCAATAACACAGTAATGGTTTTAATCAAACAAGGTATTAAAATTTTATTTTCAATTGTACTTCTTTCAAGTTCTATATATATTCTCTTGTCTGTATTAGGAAACACACACACACTCTCTCCCTCCCCACTTCTTATCTAAAACTCCCAAGTGGTTCTCTCTCTAAACTAGCTAGTCTATAAATCTGTTTCTTGGAGAAAAACATCATGTTTAGTCTACCTATACCATTTATTTTTTATAAGACTGACTGTATCTTCTCTCTGGCTTCATCTTCTAAGATCAAAGGGTAGCCTGGCCTAAGAATGTAGACTTTCTTCCAGGGGCTGGAGACACAGTAATAACTGAGCCTCATGCCAGGACCATAAAAAGCAAGCAAGACTTTGTTCTGTATTTGAAGAAGAATCGATGCAATAAAAGAAAAGCATCCCAATATATCATGAAGTATAGTAGAAACGAGCACAGATAAGTCTTAGGAAAAAATGTTAAGTGCATCTATCAGGCAAAATTTTAAATAGTGACTAATCACTAAATGAAACTGATGCTATGTCTCCAAATCATCAGGCAGTTGTCATAGCCCACTGTGACATTAAAGCCAAGACAATGTATGAGTCAAAGTGGACCTTGAGGTGCATATAAAGGAGCTCTGGTGGCACAATAGATGATGGTGCTGGCCACAGTTCAAACTCGCCAGTCCCTTCATGGGAGAAAGGTGAGACTGTCTACTTTCATAGAGATGTATAGCTTCGTAAGCCCACAGGGGCGGTTCTACTCTGTCTTATAGGGTCACTAGACGTTGGAATTGACTCAAAGGCCATGAGTTTTATTTTTTTAATGCAGATAAGGTCAGGATTAATATTAGCACAAAACATCTATGCTAGTCTAAATTGATCTTACCTGTCACTCCCAGAGAAAGTTATAATAAGTAATATAGCAATGCAGGGGTGGAAAAAAATAACTAGCAGGGTCTTTTGTCATATTTGTCACATTTCAGTAAACTTACAAAGTTAAATGTGTTTTCTAAGTGGAATGTCAAGAGACGTATTTATTATGCCCAGTGATACTGTACTGAGAAGAAGGCATTGTCACTAGCTTCAATAAAACAAAACAAGTGCAGAGCTAAGATAAAGCCAACTTTATTACAATGATATTTCCAACTTCAAAATGCATGTAGTGATTTGTTATTGAGTTGAGAGCTAATATATAGTACATTATATTACATGAAGGAAACAATTCTGGTCAGCTAGTTAGCATGCATAGATTGCTGAAAACACCGCTTCCTAAGTATAGCAGCAACAAGCAAGTAGCTTTTATCACGAAGTATAATAGCTCCTCTCATGTCTCCTGAACAATAATTCATATTGTAATTTTGTTAGTTTCCCTAATTTAAATCAAAGTAAAATTTTTGTTTTGTTTTTCCATATCTTAGTAGTTAATGGCTACAACTGTCTATACCCACAAACATGCATCAGCTTAGAAAATTTTCCATGGTTGAAAACAGGACTTTGCATATAAACAAAAGGACACCTTATCTCCCCATCCTAAACAAGAGTAGAATTTCATTTTCTCTTCTTTTTGTTGTAGTGGAAAAATCTGGGGCTCCTCCTTTGCATACAGCAATCCTGAGTGCTATTTAATTCCAAAATTACCAGATCTATAGGAAACTCCAATAAAGTTTCCTCTGCATAATCTTGCCTCATCATGTTTGTTGATTTAGAATAATTTACAATCCACAAGAAAACTGTAACAATGAATTTAAAAGTAATCATGGAAAATGTAGCAACACAAAGTGTTTTTCAAATTCATTAATGATATCACTTGTGCATGCACCTCTGCTCAAAATAACCTAACGATAAACAAATTCCACTTATGAAAAGAAGAGCTCTTTCCAGATTAGTACCCTAACAATGGAAACAGATGTAAACCCACTGGCACAAACCCTGTTCATCTTCCTTGTATGTTACAACAGTAGGAAATGGTTAGAAAAGTATGGAAAAGTTCTATTTCCTAATAAGTAGAACAACACAGATTTTACTATGTAAGTTGGAAAAAAAAAAAGGAAAAAGAAAATGAAAGGTGTGTGCTAGGCTGCGAGGGGGCAAGGTTCATGAATCACTGCACGTTAAGAGCACGTGCTGAAACTTCATGGTGCCAGTCACGTAATTTTGTGTATTTAGGGCTAAAGACGTGAAGGGGGATCTTTTCCCTGTGGAAATAAAAACAGAAGAGTGACAGAAGAGTCATAAGAAAGAGAAAGAAAAGGTTTCTACACTTCAATCACTTCATCATGCAGAACATGCCGTTCAGAAGCTTTTCACTAGTGATTTTATTAAATAGCCAAGATTTTTCAGAGGAGAGCACTTGAGAAATAACAAGTTAACTTAGAGCCTCCTTGAAAATGCCAGTGTTTATGCCCAAAATAAAGTGACTGCAAGATGATGCATGTACTCATTCACAGATATCTGAACTGTTAGCAAAGCAATCCAAAGAACAGCCTCTAACTCTATCTTATTTCTAGTGCTCAAGAATAAGCCTTAGATATAAAATCCAGAAAATACTTACTAATTTAAAAACTCTTAAGTTGTACATTTCATTTAGGTCACAAAAGGCACCAAAGTTAAAGGCTTAGCTTCTACTTGCAATGAAAAAATGCCATACACCATTACATACTGGAAAACTTGAGAAACCAAAGTAAGACCATTCATGAAAAGAAAGCATTCAATTAACAAAAATCAGGAGAACTTACTTTGCCTTCTTAGTACTATCATTTTCAGATTCTTTAACTGAAAAATAATAACCAATATTCAAAATTAGTTTCCTTTTCTTTAAACTTCAAAATCATTTAAGCAAAATTACCTGTGCTAAAAAAAGCCTTCAAACAAAACCCATTGCTGTGGAGTCTAATTCAAAATCATATGACCCCATAGGACAGAGAACTGTAGGTGTAATGTTTCCAAGGTGGGACTACTTATGTAAGCACATCACTAAATCTGTCGCCCCTGGAGCAGGTGGTGGGTATGAATTTTCAGCTTTTCATTTAGCTGTCAAGTAGTTCATTCACTACTATGCCCCCAGAGTCCAATCAATACCAATAGTCACAGCTTCACAGAAAAATGCCTAAATTCACAGTCAGCATGCTGATTCCAACTCAAGGTGACCTATAGGACAGGGTAGAATTGCCTCTTGGGTTTCCGAGACTTTATAACTCTATGGGAGAAAGTATCATCTTTCTCTTGTGGGGTGGCTGGTGGGTTCAAACTGCTACCTTATGGTAGAAGCTCAGCGCATTCCCCACTAGGCCACTAGCCACTACTGTTACACATTTCAATGTATTTACAGGTGGGGTAATGCCTTATTTACAATGTTCATGTAATGTGTGGCATAATTTAAAACTAAATTGTCTCTGGATAGTTTTCCAATAACTGCCATGCTACCTGCTACTCTAGGGCAAAGATCATTCACCCACTAGGATGTCTCTAGGATTTTACTTACGATGTTCAGTCCCAGTGATCTGGGCCAGGATACGGAAAGAGCGAGACTGAGTGGTGCCAGTCCTTGGGCGCCAGTCTTCAGTATCCTCAATCAGCCTCTTCTTGCTAGCATCACTATGAGTAGGTATGTGATAAAACTCTGTATTGCGCTCCACAATGTGTTTTCTTGGTGGGCTAGATTTAAGAAGGGGGAATAAAAAGAAGTTAAGACTTCTACCAGGAGAATAAATTAGGGCCTATCATAATTTATACAAATAATCCCCAATGTTTCTTTTATGTACTTTAAAAATGTTTGCATGTATAGTGTATATATATAGTTTTACCTTTCCCTAAAATAGACTGGAATAGGTTTTAAAAAAACTAATATTAATTTAAAAAACTGTATTCCCTGGCTAGTGTAAATGGTTAATGCCCAAACTACTAACTGAAAGGTTGGCAGTCCAAACCCAGGCAGAGGTCCCTCGGAAGATGGTTTGGACGATCCGATTCTAAAATGCCATAAGCCACAAGCTTGAAGATGTAACGAGTAACTCTACCCTGCATACACCACATTGCCGTGAGTTGGAATTAACTCAACAGCAATCAGTGATTATGATGCTAATATGAAATGACAGTATAGGAGTAGATTCAACAGAAAGATTACCGTTTAGGTGGAATTTTCCTTTTAATTGACAGAAGAAGGCAGTAGAGGAAAGATTTCCAACATGAAGAAAAGAAAAGGAAGAATAAGAAAAAAGAAACATAACTAGAAACTTAAACATCTACAGTAGTTAAACTAAAGAAAAAGCAAGTCATTTGAATTTGCTGGTATACATCTTACGACATCTAAAGTACAGATGTGAATTATATGTGAACCACTGTTAAATATTCATATGATACTAGAACAGAATGGACTCACAGTGACCCTATCTGTAAGGCAAAGTGGAACTGCCCCTGCGGATTTCCAAGACTGTAACCCCTTTACGTGAGCAGAAAGCCTTGTCTCTACCCCATGAAGTGGCTAGTGGTTTTAAACCAGATTAACACGTAGCCTACTACAGCACCAGGGATTCCTGGAAATGGATTTGGTGGCATTGAGAGTGGACTGGCTTTCACAAAGTAAATGACTGTGAATTTACTAGGCCTGGGAACCAAGAAAGGCTTAACAGAGATTAAGCTAGCAATGTCAAGCAATTGTGGAAAGTCAGTACTGTTTGTTTCTGCAGTTTTTCATTTATATGTATAAATACCCCTCTTGTTAATAAAGCTGTTGCATATTATCAGTGTACTCAGAGAATACATGTGGTATGCTGGAAACTACAGAATTATTTATCAAAGGACCAGAACTTAAATCTAAGTTCTATGGCTTTTTACTTGTATAAATCTGGGATCAATTAAAATCTCACTGAATCTTGGTTGTTTCATTTACAAGATGAGGCTGTTACATATAAAGCAAGGTCATTTTGAGATAAATTAAGAACTGTAAAAGATATTTGTTAACTACATAATACAAGACTTATGGGTTTATACAGATGCACTTATTCTCCTATAAACAAAGCATAAATATTAAGGAATTTACAACTTATATTATTTTAGCATAAAGTCAAGATCTATTGACTATAATGAATACTCTCCACTTGCCCCTTTATTCCAAACTAGGACAAATGCAGACTGTTGGAAGCTATGAGCTTAATCAGAGAACGAAAAAGGAACAAGAGTCTGAACTAAGCCAACTATGTACTGGCACAAGATGAAAGTGGAGAAAGAGTGCCAAGTCTGATGAGATGTGAGTGGCAACTCCTGCTAGGTGTAACTCACAGCTAGAAAATCACAGCACTCTCAGCATGCCACCAGACTGCTGTCACTTTGATAGTGTAACTATCAAATCTCAGCACAGTGGAAATCTAGCCCTCCAAGCTCCAACTTCCCAGCCTTCCCATGCCTTGGTGAAGAGCACAAGTGAATTAAGGTCAGTAACAATGACTGATTTTGAGCTGTGGTAGTGTAGTGGTTACATTCAGGGCTGTTAGCCTCAAAACCACCAGTTCAAAACCACGCTGCTCAACAGTAGGATGAGGCTTTCTATGCCTATAAAGACTATAATGAAGAAGTACAGTCTTGGAAACCCACAGGGGCAGTTCTACCCTACTTATTGGGTCACTGTGTTTTTTTTTTTAGTTTGGAATTTAAAGTAAGACCGATAGAAATTCCAGCAATACGTCCTGTACACAGTGTGTGTTTCAGACAAGTAACTTAACTTTTCAAAGTCTCAATTTTCCCCGGTATGATATGTGAATTACATCTACTTAAAAGGGTTGTTCTGGGGAATCGGTGAGATAGATAGCATATTTTTCACAGTACCTAGCACACAGTAACAATCATTATAATGTATCCTCTTTTGTTTACTAGAAAAATTAATTGCCATTTATATTTTAATACTATGGGTCATCCATCTGCACATATAAAGAAGAGACTCAGTAAAATTTCCATGCAAAAATAGTATATGCATATTATCATTTAGATTAGTGTTTGAAATTCTAGAAGTGAAATATCTGAGACTTCAAAATCTAATCCTTCTTAAAACAGACAAAATATTCAAAAATTAGGAAGTTTAAGATTACTTTAAAATCACAACGCTTTCAGGAGATATAAATCCCAAAGAAGATAACCCTTTATCTTATATAGTTACATGGAAGAGTTTATATCTGGTCTACTGCTAAAATAATCATATTACATTTCTCTATCAACAGTCAGTCAGCATTAATTTCAGAGATAAAAGTACATTATCCTTAAAAAAAAAAGTACATTATCCTGTATCAAAGAAATACAGAACAGGGGTGTCGAGCTAAGCCACAAACATTAATGAAATGTCACTACTTATATATTGTAGCTAAGATGCCACACTTACAACAGTATAGTACACTTAGAGAGTCTTGTGACATTTACCACTGCCCTAAGGGATCATTTTAAATTATATAATGTTTCTAAATATTTACTTAGTGTTTTCTGCCTCTAAAACATTATGCTCTGATTATACTATGATTCAAAGAGAAGTTTCGAATGTTTTTTTTTATGTATTTGGGATAAAACATAAACTGTAAGAACAAATAATTTAATGTATAGAAATTCTAAATGACTGTATTCACTACAATGTTTTCAATCACTAAACAAGGGAGATCCAAGCCATGTATTTAACTCCAGTATACAGTGTCCATATTACTCATTGCCCCGAAGGGTTTCCTACGTTTTTCCATTCCAGAAGTGCAAGAGTTCTTATGTACCCACGGGGTTCATGTGAAGTTCTCTAGCATGAAAACATGTTGCTTATACTTTCTAATGCATTGGAGAATTTAAACTAGAAGCTAATAATAAAATTACTGGTGGTATTAAAGTTGAAAGCATGAGAGAAAGTTACAAGGACAATGATGAAACTGAAATCACAAAAGGAACCAATGGTTAAGTACTTACACTGTGCCAGGGTTACTGATGGAAGAGTAACACACACATAAAAGATGGAAGAGTAGAGAAGCCATTGAAGTTTCCAAGATGATGAAAAACAGACAAAGGTGAGAGCCACCCCCAAATAGAAGACAAAATAAAAAATGAAATGGCAAAATTCGGTACACACTAGTTAAGAATGTTACACAAAAAACATGCTTCAGAATAATCATGAAACACGGACTAACAAAAATATACAATTGTTAGTTAAAATTACATCACAAAGTTATTAGGACACTATTTTTTTCTTTTTTTCTTCCCAATCCATTGAAAAATGCTTTGTATCTTAATGCTAACTCAATTCTCAAGTTACTGAATACCAAGAGAGCAAAACTCACTTTTAATTTTTTTTTAATTTTAGGTTTTTAACAATGTACTAAATAAAATTTATTATTATGTTATAATAAACTACAAAGAAAAATATTTGTTAAGTGGTAGAAACAGATCACTTAAAATCATTTTTTAAATCTGGAGAGAAGAAAGAAAAAAATGTTCCATTTTGTGTAATATTATAAATAAGAATTCAATTCTCTCACAACATAAATTATCCTCAATTATATATTATCTTTTTAAAGTGAATACTATTTAAATTTTTCCTTTGTCTTTCTTAATGTAGTGGCACTGATCAAATGAATAGAGGAAGCACGAATGAGCAATTTTCCTAACTAATGGACAATTACTTTGTATCATTCTCTCCCCATTCCTCCTTATCACCACTCTCATCCAACAAATTCTTATAACTCGAAGACTGCTTTGTAGGGAACTTTGTAGTTCAGAAAAGTTTGTCTGGTAAGACATAGAAAAGGAATTACATTAGTAATGTCTAAAGAAGGAAAATCTCAAAATACAATTCATTCATATAGGTCTCTAGTACAGTCATTACAAAGAAATTATTCAGATTCTATTATTGATACACATGACTAATGTATAAACTCTGTATAGTTTGTCAAAGAATACATGATAGAACCATTATAAAGTTTAGTTTGAGTAACTAACAATTTAATGTAAAATTAGTGAGAAAACCACCAACTAGTCATAATTCTAACTTTCACTGAATGAGGAAGGTGTGAAAGAGGAATACTGATCTCAATCGTTTACGTGCATCTATTCTTCTACAACACCAAGCCCTCTCTTCTGCATCTTTTTAGGGAAACAGTCTTGCAAAATTTAACCCTTCCTAAACAAAGTATAATTTTGGATGTATATATAAACATTTTAATATTTAGGGAAAACATTTTATTATATGAAGCTAAGAGAGAAGATATTCTATAGTGTGATGAGGAGCAAGAAAGTGGAGGTTCAACCGTTTTAACCAAAAGATGCCTCTTTGAATATCTCAATCAAATAGTTCCATGTGTTTTATAAAATGGGACCAAGTGAACAGTCCACTATGCAAAATAGTCTCAAAAAGGGCAACATCAAAAGCCAGATGACCTGGCTTCTTTTCCTGCTTGTTCTGCCCACTTCTCCAGTACTGGGGAAAGCCACATGTACAGAAACCCCATTTCCTTCTCTTTGGACATGCTGTCAGGAGAGACCAGTCCCTGGAGAAGGACATCGTGCTTGGTAAAGTGGAAGGGCAGTGAAAACTAGGAAGGCCCTCAACTAGATGGAGTGACACTGTGACTGCATCGGTGGACTCAGGCATAGGAACAATTGTGAGGAGGGCGCAGGACTGTGCAGAGTTTCCTACTGCTGTGCATAGGATTGCTATGGGTTTGGGCTGACTGGATGGCAGTAAACAACACAACATTTTCCTCTCGGTACTGAAACTGACCGACAACTTTCCTGTCTCTTGGAATTGTGATTAAGAGCATGTTTCATACACGTAAAAGTACTTGGATAATTACACAAATGGAGGTTTCTGTTAACAATAGGCAATACCCTCAATTATGTGCACGAGTATGTGTGTGTCTGTGCATGTGCACACACATGCACGCACACACATCCATAGTCCATGCATGTCAATTCGTTCACACAGCCTCAATTCACTTAATTTATCCTTACATTTATAACTGTTAAAAGCAAATACCATTTCAAAGTAACAGAAACATGCCCAAGTCACAAGTAGCTGATACGGAAGAAGGTATACCAAAATTCAGCTTTAAAAGATTGAAACTTGAATCCTGGGCTCTACCATTTATAAGCTACAAGAGCTGAGAAAATTACTTTAACCTCTCTGCGTTCAGAGTCCAAGTGAAAAATCACAAAATGCATTTAGACACAGCTAGCACAATGCACAGTAGTAATATAGTAATACTTAATGAGGTCATAAATCCAAATATGTAATCTTTAAAAATCTGTAACTTATGTTCAAATTTATTTCTCCAACTCTTATATTTCTGTCTTTAATATAGAATTGCTGTTGCAGCACTAAAATTTGGTAATTGGTATAAAAGAAAACTTGACTCTGTGGGTAAGAATTGAAGTATAAAAAGAGATGATATGCAAACTATTTGAATACCTCAAATAGTTTGTGTTTCAGAAAATGGAACATGATGGCAACATGCTCGATACAATTGTTGTATGGAATGTTAACTACCCACATATTGAATCATGTTTGGGAATGCTTTAATAGTACGCTGGTGTAAAATAGTGCTATGTTAAATATGACATGAAACTGACGTGTTGGTAAGACATACTGGTATGAAGCTGCTTTAACAATTCAATGTTTAATTCTCTTAGATATATCCCATATAGATAGTCTGTACTTCTCATTCTACTCTATCGTATGATGATGTAGAAACTTAACCACATACTGGGAGCAATTGTACTTTCATGTAAAATTATCTGAAGTTCTGATCCAATATAATTTTCTTCCTTTTAGAAATCTAATAATAAATGGTGAGTTTAACGTCAATACCTATACAACAAATGTGAGATTTTAAAGAGTCACATCAAAGTGATTCCAATGCCTTAAGCCAATTAACTGTGACCTTTAATAAGTTGGTAATTATCTCAAATAATGAGACTTTCTTACCATTCACACTGAAGCACAACTCCATGTGTTGAGTTTAAAACCTATGATCAACATTATCTGAATTAAAACACGCTTAAAAAATAAAGAAGATTCTTAAATGATTTTACAAAAAAAAAGGGAACCAGTTTGTGTAATAATTTGGAAATCGGCTAAGTTTACATATGCTATCCACTAGTGGTACAAATGCTTATGCTTTCTCACCTAGCTTTATGTGTGTCTTCTAGTAGTCTTCTTTACATGCCCATCAAGCATTGTATCTTTCAAATCATTACACCGCAAACCCCACAGATATCTTATGAAATAAGTTAAACACTATTTATTTATTACTAAAAAGCAATTCACCACAGCATAGCAAAACAAACCAAACTTATTGAGACACTGAATGTGGTTATTCTAAATTATAGGTCTTTTGCAAAATTTCACTTCATTTTGCAAAAATTGGCATTCATGCTGTTTACTTATACATAAATCACCATATTTCCCCTCCAGTAATGTGGATACTAACTTTTTCACTTCTGTTCTCTGCAAAGAGAAAAGCATGTGAAAAGCATTTTAAAAATAATACTGACATATCATCATTTGTTTTCATCTTCCAAGGCCAGGTTCTTCAAAATACCACATAGGAACTGTTAGAAAAATTCAGTCGCTTAAAATTGAAATTATTATAAAATACGTAAAAGACTTACCTCTCAGATGCAGTGGCACTGTATAATGCAAGGACATATGGCAAGGAAAAAGGTAAGTTACTTAGGCTACTTGATGCAAAATATAGAGTCCCTTCCAGTTTGGATGTAAAATCCCATTTTGCTCTAAAGGAAGCAGCAAACTAAGACAATAATTTGTACATATATACTAATGGTTCAAATGTTTTCAAGTGCCTTAGTCATTTCTAGGTAAAAAAGGGAAGAGGAACGCTTGGATAGTATTATTAAGAGATAGCTATCCTACTGATAGCAACTTAAGTATAGATTCCACACAGCTCTATTAGAATAGCTCATTTCTTAATAAGAATTAATTAACTCTTAGTAAGCACTTGCTTGTCTCTTTTGTTCTTTAAGCCTTTACAAATTTGCATAGGATGTCTACTAACTTTGCACATTAACTAGCCACTTTAAATGACTTGAACATTAACAGTCCTCCATTATTTTGAAGGAAAAAAACAATACATTTAACATTATAGCTTTCTGATATCTTAAATTTTTGTTCAATGGTGTTTTATATTTTCAAACACAAAATCTGCTAATGAAAAGTAACTACTCTTCACTTTAAGGAGTTTTATTGAAGATCTTTTATAACATTATAAAAATATGACAAATGTTACCACCACATACTAAATAAACAGTGATACCTCCTAACTGAAAAGTTTGACACCAGATGCAGAATATGCATTTGTCAGTCTCCAAAACCTATCACTGACTACGGAAGTGTATGACTTATTTTCTCATTTCTCTGATCTAAATGTTGTGAGAGCGGGGGGCACTGTAAGTTTGTCTTAGCAGTTCACAGACACCACACGCTGTTTTCCTAGTAGTCAAGTTCTCATTGTCCTAGCATCTGGACAGCACATGAAATCTATTTTTAAGTGCACCTAGTTTGCAAATGCAAAGCAGGTACTTGCTTCTTAATAACATTATAAAAATGTAATGATCCCCTTCCTCTGGTATCATGTACAGTTGCTAAACACCAGGCATGTGTTCAATATTCACCAGTTGACTGATTAACAAGTAAGAATAAAGATTCTACAATAACACTGCTGCCTACGGCTTCAGTTTGAAAATAAGATGCATTATCATTTGGAGTTTCATCATCAAAGTTGTGTTTCTAAAACACAAAAACTAGGTCTGGTGTTTACAGATAATTTAAATGATGAGCTTTTCTATAACATTGATATGTCTTTATCTCTTACCACGCCTTTATCTTTCCATTAACAAGACTGCTTTATGAATCTTTAGTGTTAGCTTAAAAAGACACTTCTTTCAATGGACTTATTTCTTCAGATCCTAGAATTTCATAAACATTGTAGACTTGAGTTTTCTCTAAGGTTAGCATTTGATAGATGTCCAGATATCCAAGTTAATTATTCTAAAAATGACTGTCTTAAAATAGAAACAAAAAATCCAAACATATATATATTTAAAAACATTTGAAATCTACATACTATTTCTCATCCTCAAGTAAAAAAAGAAATAGTATTCTTTGATGAACACTACTCTTCCTCAACAGATACATCAAAACATTAAAAAGCCTCAACCACAAAACCGTATGTAAGGCCCAGTAGCTGCTCTTCCCTAGACCTCCTGCTCTTTTTCCCCAGCAGCAGCCTGGATCTCTGCCACCTGCTCTTTCAAAGTCCAAAAGTTGCCATGGCAGCAGTGCTTCAGAAAGCACAGTCCCTTCATTACTTGAATTAACATTCGGAAGGGATTACCTCATAGAAAGGACCTCTCCATGCAATTATTTCATTTTCCTGGGAACTGGCAGTGATGGAAACCATCACGTGTGCAGATTATTTCCCTTTGTTTGTTTTCTTTTAAGGTACAATTTTTCACATTAAATCTGTTGGAAACAATTTTCCAAAAACAACTTTGGTTTTAAATATGGACATTAAATTCCAGAGAATAAAATCCATACATGGAAATTTATTAATGGGGACTAGTGAAAATAGACATGCAATTTTGTAACTATGTGTAGTTCAAATAAGTTAATACCTTAGACCAATTTTTTAAGAGCTTTAAAAAATAATCTTTTTAGGAAACAAGAACTTGAGGAACAGATTTTTTAAAAATTTTGTTAGCACTATATATTTGGGTGTACATTGGTTTAAATTAATTCATTTTAGAAGAATCTTTACAATGAAAATATTTGCTTCTGTTGCTTTTTTGGTTTTTGTCTTTACTGTGATTTTTTAATTGTTATGAAATATATATAGCTTTCTGTTTTAAAGTTAAACTAGAGTTTAACTTATCTGAAAAGAATGTTGCTTGAAATCTGCTTTAAACTAAAGTAACATACATGAGTCAAAATTAGAGCTGTGTTCTGTTTTCTTAAGACTACCTCCTGGAGAGGTGAGGGAAAAACAATAGTGGGTTATAACCTCCTTATTTCCTTTCTCCTCAGGTGAGCTACCTAAAATGAAGACAATTGCAACCACTCTGTTCACACTTCTGGTGACCAACAAAAAGACAGAACACTGAGGAGGAAAATGATTCAACATTTGCCTTGCATTATACGTGCCAGCTGCTCAGTATTTGCCAGGACTTCGAGAAGAGTTACAGAGTATGTTATATGGCTCACAGCATGTCAAACGCACAATTAGGTCTGATTAACCTGTAATCGCCTTGCAGAAAGTGCTGTATTTATATAGTATCAATAAAGGCACCTGTTAATGAAACAAATAAAATAGTATCTCCTTTCGTTCAAAAATCACCTGATATTCTGCCGGTACAGATTGTTTTGTGGAAACTGTTTGAAAGAGTCTTTGAGAAGAGCAAAAAGCACCCTTGACCACCTACCCATTTTGCTGTTTACTGTCACCCTGGGATCCTCTTCTCTGTCCCTCTGCTAGCTCCTGAGCAGTCTCGGCACACACGCTGGTGACTGTGGGCTGCCGTGGGACATTAACTGCAGTTTTAGCAGCGTTCAGTGCAGGTGAACGCTGGTGAGCACTAAGATTGTCATTAACATGCAGTCCAGATGCAGTGAATGGGAGAGGAGTGACAGCAGCCACAGGTGGAGGGGAAGCATGTGATGAAGTGGTCACATGGGCTGAGGTGAAGGCAGACGATGGTGATGGAATGGATGTGACTTTTGGAGAAGACACAGAACCAAAGGGCCGTGGTGCCTTATTGTAGGCCATGTTGGATGTGGAAGTGACTTTGGACACAGCAGGAGATGTAATGGGCACAGGTTTAACTACTTCTTTAGGTTCTCCCTATGTAAAATAAAAATAAACACAAACAACACACCAAATACATGCAAAATATATTTACTGAAAAGAACATGTAGCTGACTTTAAGACAAACACAATCATGTTAGCAGCTCCCAAATCATGTTAGCAGCTCCAAATTCACATTTCCAGCTAAAAACATCGTTTACATAGCATAACATGCATGCTAACTGATCTCAAGGTGTGTAACACAGATGGACACACTAAGTGTATATGCATTTAAAAAAATAAAATGAAGAGAGTTTTCAAGTATTTAGGAAATAGAGCAGAAGAAATAGAAAAAATATAGGTCATCACAGTTGTTCAATTTAGACATATTCCAAAGGGGGGTAGGGGGAATGTTTAAATATGCCAAAATAAACAAAACATTGCAAACCGTTTAAACTTTTAAAAAATATGTAGAGTTTTAATTATAATTCCAACTCTCAAACATGTCTAATTATTCTCTAGAAGGCAATTACTTGACTTATGCAGGCGCTGCAGAATATTTCTGACTCTTCAATTGAAAAATGAGGAACATAAGATAATTATGTTCAATACAAAAATGTGTCCATCTAATGTACAGATTATCTTGAATAAAGAAAAAATGAAAAACTCATTGATAAACAAACAAAATAAAATTAACCCTTTCCCTCTTCGGTAATCTACTCAATTGTCCCTCTGGAAAGTTCTGAGATATGAATCACAGATGGATTAAAGTCTTAAATTTTCACTTCCAAAATAAATACTTAATAGTTACATGAGGAGAAAAAAGTAAATTCAACATTTTTGCACTGCCATCAGCTAAAATAAAATGGAAAGCAGCAAGAATGGTCAATTACTTCTAAAATTAATAGATGTCATGTTAACAAATTCCTATTCCAAATCAAGTCTACGGTTTTAAAAAAAAGTTAACCATTCATGACATTCAAGAATAAATCTCTACTTTATTATTCCAAAGGAAAAAAATCATATTTTTAGAAAGCCTACAATGGTGCCATCTATATTTACTTTAAAAAAAAGTTGCACATTAATCTCGTGGAAGTAACAAGGCTAATGGAGAAAAATAATGGCTTACTGTTTAAGCAAATCAACGTTACTCAACAGAAAGACAATAAAGTAAAATTGGAAGGAACACTTCAAAAAGTAAAACCAGATATATAGGAATAATGACAGGAAATTTGGGGAACATTGTAAAAAAAAACTGTCAATAAACTGATGTAAAAATACTCTGAAAATGTATTAAGTATTTAATATTAATAAAATAATGTGAAAGACCTGTTGAGCCACAGTTTCAGTAACCACTTTAACTTAAGGAGGCTTCAAAAACTTCATGGATCATGGAATTAAAAAATAGATTTTTTTTCACGAATTTTTTGAAGCCCCTCACACATACAGAAAAACTATTATGTGAATGTAAGATATGTGGGCATATGTATAATGTACTGGCTCAGAAATTAAAGGCACTCTAATCTGGGAGGTTAGAGATATACCTTTTGAACAGGAACTGGCTCAGGCTTCGGTGTAGCAGATGCTCTGAAGAAAAAAAAAATACACAAATGTTTACAAATTCATAAATTTCTTAAAATAGAATTTTTACTATTATATTCCTTAGCATATTAAATCAGAATTTATAGTTTCACAATTCATATGTTTTGACTATTTATAATCTACTTCTTAGTCTCTGCAAGTCAAATGCCTTCAGACTTCACCTTGCAAAACCAAACTCACCGCCTCCCAGTCCATTCTCACCTATAGTGACCTGTGGGTTTCTGAAATTGTAACTCTATAAAAATAGAAAGTCCCATGTTCACCCTCACAGCAGCTGGTAGTTTCAAACTGCTGAGTTGGTAATTAGCAACCCACTGTAAACCACTGGGCCAGAAAGCCTTGTCTTTCTTCCGCTAAGTACCCTTAGGTACTAGTAATTCATTAGCAATTGCTGGGTCTCTACACACCCAAATGAACAAAAGCAAACATTCATCCTGCTTGCTACTTCACCCAAATTAAATCCTTAATCTGAGGCTGTTCCCTACTTAATGTTCAGAGTATAATACAAAATTTTATGGTTCTTTATTTTTTCCCTGCTTTAACTTTTATTATTTTAAGCTTAATTTATTCCCGAGCCATGAGTTTTTGCTTCTTCAGTTTCTTCTGGGAAATCTTTTTCTTCTGTGCAACCTCCTCTTCTGGTTCAGGAACAATGTGTTCCTTTTCAGTCAGGATCATCTCAATGTGGCAGGGGGAGCTTATGTGTGGACTGATCAGACCATAAGCTCTATAAGTCTGGCCGCGCATTCACCTGGATGTGCTCAATGATCAGAGAAGCCACATCTAAACCCTAAGTTCAGCATGACTTTGTGCATTTTTAAGCATGTAAAGTAAAAATTCAGCGCTCTTTTTGGGCCACCGACCTTGGGTCCAACCCCACCTTTTGGCCTGGGCACTCCTACCAACGCTACCATTGTGCTACCGTTGTAACGTCCGAAGGGCACACACTGCTTCTGCAGAGTGACATCTGTCAAGTACTTGGTGGCTTTCTGGATATGCATGCCTTTGATGGCTTGGGCAGTTTCACGGGTGTTCTTGAAATGAACCCAGAGGTTCGACTCTCTTGCTTTTCAGGATTTTGTAGGGTTTTCTGGGTCAAGTGAGTAGTGAACCATTTTGGCAGGTCACCTCAGGCCGCTAGAATTAAGAGGAAAAATGGTGGGTTCTGGGAGAATTCATGGTCACTCCAATTTTATGGTTCTCAAATAATTCCTCAAAAAACTAATTCAAATCTCTATCTTCAATTGTATTTTCCCAATATCCTACTATTCATGAACAAATGTTTATGAAAATATCAAATAAATTCTGGTGAAATTGCGTCACTTTATTTCATATTTATATTCTGAAATGCTTATGCAAATTAACGCGTTTGCTCTGGTAAATCAAATTAATACATTTTTGTCCCTTAGTGGGTGATACTGCCCCTTGTGGGGCACTGGGAAGATGCAGATGGGGGTGGGTAGGGTGCGTTTGCAAAAAACATACATTTTATACTGGCTTGTGGGCTACAGGACAAACGTTTTAATTGCCAAAGGGGTGCTGAGTAAAAAAAATTTTTTTCCTGAAAAGGGGCACTGGGCTAAATAAGTTTGGGGATTTAGGCTCTAAATTCTTCCATTAGGCTTTAATTTCAAGGAAGATAAAGATCATGTCTTAATTTGCTTTTATCTTTTTTTGTTAGCAGTGACTGGCATGTAATAGGTTATTAGTAATGATTCCGAGAAAGAACAAGGCTAAAATTCATACACTCAAGTTGAAGGTTGCTATATTTAAATTACTTATGTATACTTACTACTAATCCTTTGGTTAACACAGACAGTAAAAAATCTTGGTTTGGAGCCATCATTTCATATAGTCCTTATAATAACCAAAGTGAAAGCTACAATAATCCATTTTACAGTTGAGAAATTTCAGAGCTGAAATGAGTAAATTGTCTAAGATGGGGCTAAAAATTATACTTCTTAAATATTGAATTGCTTGTACTCAAGGAAAGTGCAACTTACAATAACTGGGAAAGCCTCTAATGATTTTAAAGTTATTTACCAAATATCAATGTGTCTGTTATGTTTAATGACTACTCTTTAATACAAGCCTGAGAGTAAGATATCAAGTGCAGACTCAAGAAGTGAAAGTCTAGTAGGTAAATACTATGTAATAACAATTCTAAGTTACAAACCATGGAATCATTTTACTTATACAGACAACACATCACAAACAGAAGAAACTAGCACAAGATACTAGGTCTCTACGAGCATAACCTAGCAATGAACTCCAATCAACAATTTTAACAACATCTGAATTTTCCAATAACAACTAAGTTGGTTAGTTAGGACAAGCACTGACTGAACAAGTGGCTAACTTAGCAGAGTCCACAATGCTCCATTCAGTTACTGCAATACAGAATTACATTCTGTGCAGTTGCATAACTTTCCATGCTTACTCTTACGTAGATAATTTCACTTTTGGCTTACAGGGTTATTATAACAAACAAAGGAAACATGTCCAAGTACAGAACAGTGGAATCTACCTTTCATTGAAATTTCACAATAGGATGTAATCACAAAGGAGCTACTTATTAAAACTGCCCATGATATTACTGAAAGTTTGTCAGAATCAGGAACATCACATCTTCTTTAGTCCCAAATCCCATTACCTCTCTACTTGTCTCATCAATGCAATGGGATTGTACCAGTAAAATCCAGGCATGATGCCTTGACCTACCTTTGTCAGATAAGATAATGGGGGCATTCAGTGAATCTACAGTTGTCACTCAAGACATGATAAAGATGGTGGGGTAAGAGTACAGTGTTTTTTTTTATTTTGTTTCAAGGTCCATGGGGTGCTCTTTTAGTAACATAAAAATAATTTGTAAAATAAAAGAGCATGCTATATAATAGTACTAAATTTTCAAACTCAGATTAAAATAAGTATATCCTGTATCTATGAGTACAAATTCCTTGGGTTTTTCTTGGTGTTGGTACTTAAAAGATTATAGAAGTTTTTGTAAAAACAGATTGGTTCATTTTCATTATTTTTTAACCCAAGCTTATTCTTCTGAAAAAGCTTAGAATAATCAGGAGTCTTAACATATTATAACTAACATACAAAAACTACAACAGTACTCCTGGAAATTTTATATTAAAAATAAAAATTAATCTGGAATTTGAGCATTGCCCTGCTGACCATACAGTTTCACAAGCGTGATGACATGAACTTAAAAGAGAGAAAAGAGGAGTAATATATTCCCCAAACTCAAGAGTAGATTCCACTACACATTAAATAGATGAGCGTAATTTTGGCGGGGGGCGGGAATCTGACAGGCTTGTAATTAAATTTCAAATAGTACAGTTGAAACCAGATACAATAAAAATTAGTTCTATTGGTTTAAATATTTAAGTACCATGTGAGTCATAGAAACTTTGAAACTGAAAGGTTCGTTAGAGTTACTTTATTACAAGTTAATCAGTAGGTTGATCTGGCCTCTATTATCTGAATATTTCCAGAAGCTCACAATTTAAATCATGTAAGTTTGAAAATTAATATTAAAATAGTCTTTGAGTATATCATTTTGTTTCCTAGAGTAAACAGAAGTCAAATAAAATGTTAACATTAAAAGTATTTGAACGTTTTAAGGCATACAATGTAAACTAATTGTAAAAGATCTTAATGTCATAAGTCTTATATTAAAGTATAATAACTATTAAGTATTGTGACTCAGGAAAATTTTGAATACATGGCAAATGAATGCTATAGAATGAATAGCAAACATGAGTTAATTTTTAAAACTTTACCAAATATCAAAGAATGACAGAAGAAAAATATATACCTCATTTCCTTTCATATGTGTAAGATGTTTTAAAATGGCAATACACAATGCTTCAGAATAAACTATACATTTTAAAATATGATTAGGCATGGATTCATTTTTTAAAACCTTCAAAATGCTCATGCTCTCATTAAAATAATCAACTTCTGAGGATCTACCATAAGAAAATAACCTGAAATATGGAAACAGCGCTATATATACATAAAGATAATTTGTTCACTATGATACAATTTATAGTAATGAAAACTTAGGAACTTGTAAAAGATACAAGAATGAGAAAGTGATTAACTATTTCATATATAATTAAAATCATTCTTAGAATTTTGAATAAACCACTGCCACTGAGATTCTGACTCACAGTGACCCTATAAGACAGAGTAGAACTGCCACCTTTGGGTCTCTAAAAGTGTACATCTTTACAGAATATCACAGCCTCATTTTTCTTTGGCGTATTGGCTGGTGGGTTTGAACTTCTGATCTTGCAGTTAATAATCCAATGCTTACCCATTGATCCCACCACAGCAAGATAAAAGGTTTTTTGGTGTCACATGGAAAAAGGAAGATACAAAACAACACATCCAACATGACCAATATATGGAAAGAGTAGAAAGAAACACATCTGTATTTTAATGGGGAAGTCTTTTTAAATAACACTTATTCTTTCTCTTTTGAGCTATGTTTTCCACATTACATAAAATGTAATTGCACCATTTTAAAAATAATGGATATTTCTCAAAGACTGTCTTAAGGAAAATTCCTTTCAAGAAAGAGATCTGCTGTCAAAAATATCTGGAAAACAGAGTCAAATAAGGTGCTAAACCGCAGAGCCTCATTTCCTAAAGAAAATGCTATGGATTATTGCATTCACTCATTTGAAGGTGATTTTTTCCCCTTATGAAACAAAGAAACATTTAAAGAAACTCTGTGAACTCTGATTAATGGTTACTTAAGACTCCTACAAAAACTCACAAATAAAAATTTGCAAGTTAGTTACAAGTTATTCCAATCCAGAAAAAAAAAATTAGAATTTTTAAAATTCTTGAAATTATCTGTAAACAGAATGATTCATCTTATCAAATTAGTCTTCCTTGAACTTCGCAGATAACAAAATAACCAGGCTATGAGCAAAATTTAACAATGTTCAATGAGTAAAGTGCTA